GGCAAAAGAGACTCCATTTGTGTTGAGTTTTAAGAGTAGTTGAAAAGAATAAAAAAGTTTTTTGAGTATTTAAGGGAGAGAACTTATGTGTGTACCCTTGAAATTGTTCAGGATTCTTATGTGATCTGCAAAATATTTGATAATGCTGAAGAAGAAGAAGACATTTCAAATGGTATTAACTCGAGTGAGCCAAGTAAATCTTTGGTCACTGATTTGAGTACTTTCAGACCAATGAGTACACTACCTGAAGTGAGTCCAGTTTCTAACATGTTTCATCATTCATTAGTATTCAAACCTGTTTCTTTACTTGTCTCTCTTTAAACATTCTCAGGTAGAGCAAGAAGGTGAAGAATTTGTTGATGGTTTGCCTGTGAATTATCTCTCTTCGTGTGATGGATTCAATCAAAACACATTGTTCAGCGACAACAACAACTCGCAGCTACGGATTCCTTACTTAGATCAAGAAGACGATGAGTTTCTAGGTGGATTGAAGCATGTTAACAGAGAGGAAATTGAGTATTTGTTCTCTGATCAAGAACTCATAATGCAAGAGAATCACAACGATTACAGACCAAAGAAATCTTTGTCAGGGATCATTGTTGATTATAGCAGTGATAGCGATGCTGAATCTGCAACGGTATAGCGCATAACTTAGTATTCGTTATCAAAGTAAAGCGCATAACTTAGTATTCGTTATCAAATACTTTCATGAGTAACTATCTCTACTGGTAGCTCGAATATACACTTCCTAAGGTTGCAAAGATATACAAACTGATGCAGAACTTTCCATCAGGGAATCTCGAGCTCACACGGCGCGCAATACCTTCAAGACAAGACGTTTTTGAGTTGATTTTGTGGGTACTTGTACCTTATAATCTCTTGAAATATGTTTGGATTTTCAAATATAATGATTGATGTGTTCTCCTTTTCAGGTGAAAGAGAGAAGGGGCTGGTTTGTTGCAGAAGAAGCAATGGAGAGAAACCACAAGAATCCGCGGTATATCTATCTTGTGAACATGATCATAGGTTTCACTCTCTTGGTGGCTCTCATTGGCGACATTATATCAAATCTTAACCTTCCTAATAAAGTCTGATCATGCCGAGAGGCGAATCAGATCGATCAAAGCACTCTTTATGATCCTACTAATTTCTTCTAAATGCGTAAATAATGTAGATGTGTGTGTGAAGGATGGTCTTAACCTTTACACTAGCTTAGTTATATAGCCTATGGTACAATACTGTGTCTATTTCTTCTCAAAATGGGCTTACTTGTGGCTTAAGTTAATGCATTTTAGGATTTTTTCTTTTTTTTTCAAATCTCATTTTCACTGTAATAAAGCTGCTAAATCATCCGAAAAGAAGTTGGATCATAAAACAAAAGTGCCTCAAGACCCTAAAGAAGATTATGAGATCACGAGTTTCGGAAAAGAGAAGGCAGAAGATACATCATAGATCCTAAGTGTTTGAAAGACCTTGACCCAGAGATCTGATCCGCCAAGAATCGAACCGAGTGTGCCATAAAACAGGAGGCTAAGCATCTGCTCATTGTTGATTCAGTCATCACTGGATAAAGTCATGAGAAAAAACCAAAACAATACAATATGTCAGGCCAAGTTCGATAAAATCTACGAGGCAACGCAGAATTCAAAGATCTGACCTTTAAGAGCGACTGTATTCGATGTTAAGACGAGCATATCTACGATGAAAACCACAGAAATCGGTAATTCCCAGACCTGTAAACAGCATTGTAGACATATTCACATTTTAGCAGTTACAGAATCTTCCTCATTATCAGTTTAAGAGCTTTAAGAAGCTATGTCGTTTGATTATGAAACATACCGGCAGAGCAAATAGAAAGATCTTGACGTAACTCGAGATTAAGATCCCCAAAAGAATCTCTTTTCTTCTGCAAATCATATAATACTAAACTTATCCTCTCTTCTATCAAATTAAGAATAGTCTTTTGGCAAAAAAATCATATTGAAGAAAACATATACCTGGAAGCGCCGATTGACATAAACTTAGTCGCGAATGCGAATGATAAAACAAACGCGAAATTCGCAGATAGTACATTGACCAGAACCTGTTACATACATTACAGTTTTAATTCTTTAACATTTTCATAAAACACCAATCTATGAAACTTACAAGGAAACAAAAGAACCAAACCTCTAGAGATTCATGAACGAAGCTCATCGACACACTTGATTCGTCATTCGTTCTTCGCAGTAGCAAGCTTCGATCTTTTGAAAGTGTTAAATTCATCTCCAAAAATGAAGAGTT